GAAATTATTTGAAAACGAAAATTCTAAATATATTTAATTATAATACAATATATATAATGTTATATAACATATTTACTTAATGTTAGATAATATATTTACTTAATAATATATACTATATTTATTATGTAATATATTTACGAGGGTCGTTTGATAAGTTTGGTGAATTTCTGTGAAATGGCGCTACAATTGATGACGCGACATCTTGAAAGATCCACTCTTCGAACCCCTTCAGGCCAAATTTCACCCAGAAAGGACGCATAGTTCACGTTCGGTAGTCATTTGAAGCGAGTGGTTTAGCAATTTCCGCAAAAATGGAAAAAAACGAATTCCGTGCAGTAATAAAACACTTTTATTTAAAGGAGTGGACAACAGCGCAGATCAAACAAAGTTCATAGGAACTCTGCTCCTGCATTGAAGACCATTTATTTTTGGATAAACAAATTTAAACGTGCCCGAACCTGCACTGAAGACGAAGCGCGCTCCGGACGACCTGTTGAGATTACCACATTGGATATCGTAGAAAAAATCCATGCTATGATTATGGAAAACCGCCAAATGAAGGTGCGTGAGACTGCTGAGGCCGTAGGCATCTCCACGGAAAGAGGGCATAACATCCTGCACGAAAAATTGCATGTAAAAAAGCTGTGTGCACGATGGGTGCCGCGATTGCTTACTCTCGATCAAAAACGCACGCGAAAGGACGTTTCAATGCAGTGTTTGGCGATGCTTAAGCGCAATCCGCACTTTTGGCGTCGATTCGTGACTGTGGACGAAACTTGGATCCATCATTACACTCCTGAGACGAAGCAGCAGTCAAAGCAGTGGATAATGTCTGGTGAAAGTGCGCCGAAAAAGGCGAAGACTGTCGGCTGGAAAGATGATAGCCACTGTTTTTTGGGATTCTCAAGAAATTATCCTAATTGACAACTGGCAGAAGGGTAAGACAATAACAGGAGAATATTATGCAACGCTATTGGACAGTTTAAAAAAAAGCTAAACAAAAACGGCCAAGATTGGCGCGCAAAAAAGTGCTCTTTCATCAAGACAACGCGCCATCCCCAAATCGACCGTTGCAATGGCAAAACTACACGAATTGGGCTATGAATTGATTCCTCATCCACTCTATTCTCCGGATTTGGCCCCGTGTGACTTCTTTCTATTCCCAAACTTAAAAACTTGACTGGGTGAGAAGAAATTCTCGTCAAATGAGGAAGTCATTGTCGCCGTCAATGAGTATTTTGCAGACTTTGACACAGCCTACTTTTCCGACGGCATTAAAAAATTGGAAACTTGTTGGACTAAGTGTATAGCCCTTGATGGAGACTATGTTGAGAAATAAAGCAGATTTTTACCAAAAAAATGTGTTTTACTTGCTTTTTTACCAAACTTATAAAACGACCCTCGTTAATACTTTATAACTAGATAAACTTCTCAGGTAAGGTTTGCCGACTCTCACCCGATGTTGAACGTTGGGCCGACGTTGGCGAATTCACGGCAAACCGACAGTCATTAATCGAACATGGTGCGAC